AGAGCTGAGCTTTTTCTCTGAACGTTAGGATGCTAGCGCAAGGGAACGTGCGCCTGCAGTAAATGCAAGCTCACTTACGCGGGCTAAGGTGCAGTGCAGGCGTGGCAGCGTGCTCACGCAATGGGGGCAAAAGTGTCACCGTGAATTAACAGAGACGTAGTGTGCAAAAATAAGTTTGCCTCCCTCCCCCCCCCTAGGCAATATTTGCATGGCCATCATCTGCTCCAGTGCATGCAAATCCTTCGTTTTGACAGTCCTACGCGAGGACTAAGTTTTACATTTTCAGCAACCTAATCCTGGCATTGACCTAGCGGCTAGGGTTGGGTTAGAAGAACAGTTGGCGAGCACACATAAATATTCGATATATTCTGATCGGGTCATTAAATTTGTATGGGAACGGGATCAAAGTTAAACGTGCGGTCAATTAGGTTCGCCTGTTCATGCAAATGAGTCATGGGAATAGGGGGGGAGGGAGAGGGTGGGTTACGTGGCAGTGCGGTTTTTTGAATCCGATTCAGGCGAAGGGAGGAGGAGGGGAGAGCGCGGATTAGTGCATGAAGTCAAGTGACCGAGAAGAAGACGACTCAGTCGTTGGGATAATACTTTTATTCGTCCGATGTTTCGAGATCTGTTGCGGATTCCTCATCAGAGACATAGCCAAATAGCAGTAGCAGATACGGGTAGCGTATGCACAGGAGTTTGCAGTATTTATAGAATACAGTCGTTTCTGCAAACACGCAACGGCAATTAACAGTAATTGCCTTCTTGCGTTTTGATAGTTTGTTGAGCAGCATGCGGGCTCCGCCGACCTACTGAACTTTCATCACGTGTGGTGGACTTGAGCGTGATGAGTGCTCGGCCATCCGGCCCTTCGGTGTTGGCGTAGGATGACGCGGTGACCTGTCCGTTCCCCAAGTGACGACTTGCTTTGGCCAAATTGAGTCCCAGCAGCGAATATGGATTGAGGGCCCGTGAACCATGACTCAAGTAATTCTCGGCTCACCCTATTGTCACCTCTTGCGAGAATTTCGGCCTCATCAAATTTGAACGTGTGGCCAGGTCTCATCGAATGAGCCGCAGCTTGAGAATTGGCATTATTTCGCCGCACTGCTGCCGCGTGTTCGGCAATTCGCGTCTTGAGCAGTCTGCCAGTTGTATTGGAAAGTTTAGTGACCAGGCGCGGAGCTTGCAGGATGTTCTTTTCTGCACGCAAAACCGACATTCTCAACCTGATAGCGGTCGCCTATACTGCTAATGCCAGGAAGTAATTAAAAGGAAGATTCGATCGCTGTTACTAGTGGACGATGACCCAGAGATTTGGTGTTTTTTGGGACCTCATAGAGCACCCGGGCGGCTTCATTTGGGTCCGCATTGTGTCCGGAATAAACAATATGCTCAAGAATAGCACTATTTACGCTCCTGATTTCACCTTTTCTCAGTCATGCCGAAAGATTTTCCTTACTCTGTTATATAATCGCTTACTCGCACGACCAATGTGACCAGCTCCATAGGGGCAAGTAAATGAGTAACTGCACACAGAGGTGGTCTGAGCTGGCAATCTATTCTTGCCTGCCCCGTATATGACCAGGTTGGGTTGAGAATAATACTCGGACTCTCGCTGCTGGGAAGTTTCTTGACACGGCTTGGTCAAAACGTCTTTTTATTTCACCTACCGCTTCCCCTTGAAAGGGGATTTTGATAAAAAGCAGTTTCTTTTCAGTAGAGTTACTTAACAGACTAAGATGTAACCGATAGAATTAATTAACTTAACTCGACTTGCAAGTGCTAGGGAATGACAAGGAAGGGTGTTAAAGAGATTTCAGAACGATAGATCACGGTATTTTCCGACACTACGCTGAACGTGCAGCACCCCAATACACCAATGCTGTCTTTCTATTCAATTCATGACTGACATCCTATCGTCTTCCAGACAGTTTATTTGCATACATAAATCATACTTAATGACTGTGTGGATAGGTCGCTCTTACGAAATCTGATTGTTGTGGTTGGAGTCTGGTTCCGTCCATTCCTCTTCCAATCACAACAGTAATGTTCACGTGCTCGTTGGCTCGCAGGTTTAGGTCAAGGCATACTGACACTCATTGGCTCAATGGCTCGTGGCTCAATGGTTAGGGCGTTTACCTCTGATCAACAACATTGCGAGTTCGAGGCTCGGGTAGGACACCACTTGTGTCTGGCTATGACTGGCTGACGACGGCTAAGGAGCCAGAAATGGCCATTCCAGTCTCCTTTTTCTTTGCCAAAAATAGTATCTGCCTAAGCCAAACATTTTCATTTTGGAGCCTTCAAATTTTTCCTTAAAACCTTCTCAGGTGATCGCCTGCGCCAACTTCACTGGATGGCAAGCTGGAACTTCTAATTTCCATTCTATAATCAAGATAGCTCGGCGCATGTCGCATTCCTGTGACTATTCGTCCGTAAAACGAACGCACATGAAGCACTCAGAATGCTTTCTCCCTCTGTTCTTCAGCTGAAGAAAATAATATGGAAGTTTTCAGCTTAAGATTCGTGTATATCGAGTTATATTGAAGTTTAAAACGTCAAAGGCGGTGTTTTGACCTAAACCGAAACATGCTTATCACAGGCGTCCTTTGTACACAAAAACATCTGCATAAAGGTTTCCTCCTTAGATGAAACGACAAAATTTATTCAAATCAACATCCTCGGAGAGGACTTTCCTCGTCTATCAGCCACTGCGGGATAACTGTCTAATGCTAAAAAGCTGCCAACAGGCAGCTGGTATTATAAATTACGAAATTATCTACCCTACTGGTGACTCAGATATTAAGTAAAAATTTAAACACATGTTTTGTCGATAATCATAGCTCAGCTGCATGTGGTTCGTCTTGTCAACGAGTCAACCAGCCTTCTGAGGAAATTAAAGAAGTACAAGGATGGAATCCTGCAGTATGTTGATGAGGCTGTTTTTCAACTGGAGACGGCTTAACGAATGTGACATTGCGGTAGATGTTCGGCCGTCCAGGGGCATCTGTCCGATGACTGAAATTGCGCTAATGGTGGGACATGGAGCTTTAAGTCAACGGCGCTGCATTCTTTCAAGTTTAACGTCCCGCCTCATCCTCAGATATTCACGTGGCTTGGATGATTGATTATCTCAGAACCGAATGCATGGCATTCCCATGATGCTTGGTTGATTCTTAGGTGTCCGAGCCAGACTGTAAAGACGGCGCTTTGGTAACCTTTTTCTCAATGTTATCTACGAATGGTGATATTAAGTCCGCGCGGCCCCAGCTTCATGTCGAAAAGGGCAGGACGGTGGCTAAAAACCAAATGCTGTGGCCTGCAGAAGGCATGGAATGCGTTAAAATATATCGATTGTAACTTCGAAAAAAGCCTTCGCAACAGAAATTTTCATATTTCCTCAAAATTACCGCAGCAGCTGATAGAATTCAGCTCAGACATGTATACCACTTTTTGGGCTGAGCCAAGAGGGTTCCGTTTCGAAGGATTAACTTCAAGTTCCTGTATTCTCCTTCTCGGAAATCAAGCAAGATCAGCTTAAACTTGACTTTCTCTACCAGAAACTATACGGGGAGCGCTGAGGGACTCACAGGGCAACCAACCCTCTCACTGGTTCCCCAGGTAACGACACAAGATGGGTGAAATAGGCGTGCTTGTGCTTTTACCTAGTAGCTGTATTTCCAGTAAGGTAAATAATTATGTATAACTGAAAAGTCCACTTACACGTATCATACACGAGGGGGCGCCCACTGTCATACACAGCTAGCTTCATTCAGGGGATCTATATACTCACGAGGATGAAAGCGCAATAAATGTCGCCTTTAAAAGGTGTCACTGCAGGCTGTCCTTCGGCTCTTCGCTGGTAATGAGTAATATAGACGATGCTAGAGTAGTAAAACGAAACATGCTTACTACAGTACGGCACAGAATTCGTGTAAAATATCGACCTATGCGAACGATTGATCCTCTCTCGATAATCAGTATTGAGTAAGGTTGTAATATTGATTATCGTGTAGTCTATTCTGAAGTCGTTTCAGTCACGATAGGATGCCGGCTTTTTAACGAACTTCTCTTTGACCGCTTATAAAACATATGTACTGCAAAAAGTGGCTACTTAAATAGAATGCGTTTTTATCATTGATTTTGACTGCCTTTATAAATTCCAATACATTTTATGGAAAACATGCACGAAAAAATTATTTATTGTACTCGTTTGGTAGCAAATTGTGCCTTCTTTAACTTTGCTACTTAAAGAAAGCATAACTTTCGGTTTTTAAAAAAATTTCTTATACTGAGCTTTTTTATAATTGTGAGGCGTTCGTGCATAACACATCGTATTCATCAGTTTATTAATGTTGCCTATAAGGTATACAGCATGGTTCACATCTGTCGCAATATTTTATGAGAACTATGCGAGTTCTTCCTCAAACCTTAGACGAAAACGTACTTTTCCTTAAACAGGATGTACACAGCACGCAGTATGTAAACTTTGAGTTAAAGTGTAGCAGTCAGTAGATTTCAAAATTGTTCGGCAATTTAGGAGCTTTTCTAAAACCAAAAGACACCCTTTTTAAGCATAACATTTAAAGAAGTCGTAATTTGCTACTATTCTGGTCTCGATTGTCTTTTCTGGTACTCCATCGTATGCAAACGTTACTAATCGCTATGCGATTAAGAAGTAAAAGATGTGATCGCTGGAACTAGAACTTTACATTCACTGTCCGCGGCCGATTCTTTTGATGTCATAAGTCAATCATCAATTATGATGAAGTGGCACTCAATGTCTCGAGC